GGGGACCCCAGGATGAAGGGGATGATCGAAGAGTTCCTCCGCGCCATCCAATTTTACGGGAGCGGGTATCTTGAGGAAGTTCCAGGGCCAAGGCCGCGGCTCGGACGGCTGGGGATGATGTGATGGGGGTATATTAGGTGGTCGGGGTCGCGATGGTTTGTGAGCTACAGACGTTGACTCCCAGCTTGTCAATTAATATTATCGGCATAAACGTCTGCCAATATGCGCGTCACCGAGCTTTTTACGTGCGCTTTGCTGCAAGCATCAGCGGTACTCTCGACCCCTCTTGATGAGCGAAGCATCAAGGTATCCGCGTCGAAGAGGCCACATCATCCGGCGTATCCTTATCACCCGAAGAAAGCATGCCCGGCATCGCCGCCACGAACCAAGACCTGCAGCGTCAAGGCTCTCGGTGGTGGTAAGGATGACTCCGCAAACATCTTGAAGGCGATCAAGCAGTGCAATAACGGCGGTCATGTCGTCTTCCCCAAGGACCAGAAGTTCACCATTGGAACTGCGCTGGATCTTACTTTCCTCAACAGCATCGATCTGGGTATGTCACCTTCAAAAGGCTACGATATCGCGGCGCTAACCGTCAAAAAGACATCCAAGGATCCATCCAATTCACAAACGACACAGACTACTGGCAAGCAAACTCCTTCAAGCAAATCTACCAAAACGCCACCACCTTCTTCCAGCTCGGCGGTAAGGACGTCAACGTCTACGGCGGCGGCACCCTAGACGGAAACGGCCAGGCCTGGTACGACCTCTACGCCGAGGACATCTACATCCTGCGCCCCATCCTCTTCGGTGTCATCGGCGCAGAGGGCGCGACTATCTCCGATTTGAAGTTCAGATACAGTCCGCAGTGGTACACGTTCGTCGCCAACTCCACCGACGTGGTCTTCGACAACATCGACATCTTCGGCGGCAGCAAGAGCAAGAACCCCGCTAAGAACACGGATGGCTGGGACACGTATCGTTCCGACAACATCGTGATTCAGAACTCGCATATCGACAACGGCGACGATTGCGTGTCGTTCAAGCCCAACAGCACCAACATCGTTGTTCAGAACCTGATCTGCAACGGTAGCCATGGTATTAGTGTGGGTTCTCTGGGCCAGTACCCGGGCGAAGTCGATATCGTCGAGAACATTTACGTGTACAATATCAGCATGTCGAATGCTTCCGACGGTGCGCGTATCAAGGTCTGGCCTGGTGCTTCTTCTGCTCTTTCTGGTGACCTGCAGGGTGGAGGCGGTGGTGGTGCTGTCAAGAACATTACGTACGACGGCATGACCATCTCGAACGTCGACTACGCAATTGAGATTACTCAATGCTACGGTCAGAAGAACTTGACGCTTTGCAACCAGGTAAGTCCCTTGCTACCCACCAACCAAGTCTTGTTCGAAAGCTAACGTGATAATAGTTCCCCTCCAACCTCACCATCTCCGACATCACGGTCAAGAACTTCCACGGCACGACCAGCAAGAAGTACGACCCGCTCGTCGGGTACTTGGTCTGCTCCAGCCCGGCGGTTTGCTCGAACATCAACATCGAGAATGTCAATGTTACGAGCCCGACAGGAACAAACCAGTACACTTGCTTGAACATTGACGGGATTGAGAGTCAGGTTAACTGCACTACTAATGGAGGTCAGGGCGGAGAGTCAGGAGGGAATTGAGGATGGTTGGATAGTTATTGCAATACAAAATGCATCATTCGTATAGTTCCACCCCCTTTGCTTTTGTGCCGTGATGACATGGTGCATGCTGGGGATGTTGTGATCGTAGCCGAAGCGCTCTTGGCAAGCGACGATAGTCTGGTACAGGCCTGGAACATAACCGAACGAACATCCAGACATATCTTTTCCTGGCAGAACTACTGGTTCTGGGCTTGCTCAATATATGGGCGTGATTGGAGTACCCATGCATTTGGGCATCGATGGGCTTGGTCCTAGCAATCAACATGCTCGGTACGGCGGCGAACTACCATTACTTTAAGCTCTGAGTGAAATAGCCGAAAGTTCTCTGGCCCCCAGTGGCGAGCGTAATTCGACCAAAACGATTAAAGGTTTCGAGTAGGAGCCTAATGCGTGATGCACAGACTTGGCGTGAGTGTACTGCACCCTTATATGACCGCACGCTTCCGGGCCCTGGTCAAGATCTCAACGAACCACTCAACCAACCCGAAAATTTCTACACGTTAGCAAAATACACAAGACATGTCTACTTCTCCAGATAACGTGTTACCCGAGGGTGTCGAGCGCAAGAAGAAGAGTGCATCAGCTAGAAGGCGAGCGCGAAAAGCCCGGAAAGTTGCCCAAGCAGAGACGAGTGAGCCGCAACAGATTGCCGAGACCATGCACAAGGGTTCCGGGCAGGCGGAAGCGGTTCAGGAGGAGATCATGAAAGAAGAAGCTGAACTGAAGCGCGAGCAGGAGGTGCAAATAGCGCGCGCTGAGAGGAAAAAGCAGGAAGAATCGAGATTGAAGCGAGAACAGGAGGCGCAAGCAGCGCACGCCGAGAAGATAAAAAAGCTGAACGCTAAGCGTGCGTTCCTTGTCCACTCCTATCATGACCTCCGTCCATACCGTCGGTACACTCACATCTACGGTGAACGTAAGTTCCAGAAGCCTGTGGTAAGTACCCTATAGATCTGGACACATAATAGTATACTCACAAGTCTGTAGAACAAGCCTCAAAACGTCGGCTTCCTCGATATGCCTCTCGAAATCCGTCTGATGATCTACGGGCATGCCCTTGAATTCGATGAGCCGATCGAGCTGTGGCCAGAGACCGGAAACATGGATACCGAGTATTACCGAAGAATACGCAACGGGTCTAGACTTCGAAAAATGTTCGACCGACGCGGCGCACGCAACCTCGGCTTGCTACGTACATGCAAGCAAGTATGCGCTGAAGCCGCCGAGGTCTTCTACGGCAACAATGAGTTCCGCTTCTCGGGTCTCAACGGCCACATGGTAGCGTATGCGTTCGCGACGAAGATTGGGTCGAGGAACCTGGGATTCATGAAATCCATGACCATGGCTATACCTTGCCGCTCGGAGGACCGCGGTTGCATGGCCTCACACTGGAACCCACACACCTGGCTTCGCACACACGAGGTATACGACCACATGCCTTTTCCATATCCGTGGACCAAAGGCAAACTCCGTAAGCGCTTCCCGCGACTAGACTTCGAAGACTCGTGGCATAGTCTGGCTTGGATGCTGGCGGGCGCCCATAGACTCAACCAGATCACATTCGTCCTGCCCCACTATATCCGGTACCGCCGCGTGGCGTGGGGTCTGCATCGCTATGTGAGGTGTTGCGGACGACGACTTGTCAGTGCAATGGACGATATCGTAGCGGCAAAGCCATTTCTCCAGGTTGCAATCGTACGCATGTTCAAGGATCCGAGTGAGGACGCCTCCTGTGACAGCAGTCAGCGCTGCCTCATCAAAGAACTGAAGTCGATTGTGTTCTGCAACGTTCGTCTGGCTAGATTCTGTAAGAACCAGAAATGGGAACTTGACCCCCAGCCATACGTTGACAGGGATGGCGGATTTGTCGAGGACCAGGCATTGGATGCGAGCGAGAACCCATTGGACATGCTTCCCGATATCGAGCGTTTGTTCGTGAGGGCGGCAGCTGAGTAGACGAGATATGGCTTAAGGGTTCGTTTCCGTGTGCGCGGCGATAGCCAGCGAAATGCTTTCCGGAGGCGCGACTTCAGTACGCGGCTAGAAGCTCGGAGGCCTGCATCGACGTCGTTAGCGTGAGGAACCGGTGATAAGAGGGCAATAAAGATACCATAGTTGTACGCTCGCCTTTGAAGTAGGAAAAGTAAAATGCCTTGGGCGATGCTACGGGTGAGCGCTGAGCTGTTGTGCCGTTGGTGTCGCCGGAAAGGCAGAAAGCGCGACTTCGACTAGTGACACGATGACGTCACGCGTCATCACTTGTCTGCTGTGCTGTGATTGGTTGTCGCGTACACTCCTTCTCTGCGCGCAGCCCACGAGCATCCTACGTCGCAATGCGAGTCCACAACGACATTGCTGCTTGCCTAATTGCCTATTCTCTAGGAGCATCAGAACCGCGATCATTGTTCATACTTGTCACCCGCGTATGCAACGCGCCTCCACAACCTATGTCAGCGTCGTGTAGACCAATAACAATATATAGTGCGACCATGCAGAAGCTCACCATCGCATTCATAGACAGCACTTTACACCTGCAAACGTATCCGATAACTCCCCTACCTCGGCTCGGTCATATTCACTCATTTCAAGAACCAAGAATCTTACTTTGGTATGAATTGGTTGCTATATAGCTTGCGCTATCGAGCTAGACACATCCATGCATCCTACGATGCTTGCAGTTTCGCTGATGAAGAGGTAACGAACTCAAACGCTTTCGTGCGGCAAGTTCCTTCCCGTGATCAGAGGACCAGTTGCTGGGGAAAACAGAAATGAAGAACAAGCACGATAAAACCATGTGATAGACCGAGGAGCGGGAACGTGGGTTTCAGAGGAACGGAAGTCATCACTGAACCTCCACCGTATCCCAATTCGTCCTTGGTGCGATGGAAAGAAACCCCTTGACACGAGAGCTTCAAAAACGCAGTGGAGAGCTCGAATCCGCATTCGAAAAGCTAGAACGCATTAGCGAATTATCCCGATAATATCGTCAGATCATACCTATATCCCCACCTGTGTGACTTCCTAAGGAACTCCAACAACGAGCCCTTGACGCAAGGACCGAGATGACTGTTGACCAGCCAATTCCAGTCATTCGTGAGTTTGTAATCAACCCACCCAGTCACCTTATAACTGTTGTCCAGGTATGAATTAACCAGTGTGTCCAACCCGAGCTCATTTTGCCATGACGCTTCTTTCGCTTGACCAAATCCATTTGTCCAGATAGTAGGGCACGGAAGATCGGCACGGTTGGGATAGGTCTTCAGAAAATCGTATATGAAGAGAAGAACGCCAACTTTTAGTTGGTCTAGGGACAACGTGAAGCAGTGGTTTGGTGTCTCAGAATCGAGCGGATGGCGTACCTCGATCTCTAAATGGACTTTGCGGTTGACCGAATCCATCGCAGATAAAAGTAGCAGTGCATCGAACCGAACATCTTCAAGAGTAGAGTGCTTCGGTAGGTCGAAATACAGATGAAAGTAGCGTGGGCGACCCCGTAGTCGGATGGCTGTGAATCTCTCCAGCTCGGTCGCAAAGTTGTATTTCGGCGTCGAAGTTGCTGAGTTGAAGGTTGAATTGACATCGCAGACTTCTGAGATGGCTTCGTGACGTGACCAACGATTCACCCCAGCTAGGCTTCTAAGGTTGCTGTTCGTAGTCTGGTGCGCCAAGTCGAAGGTTAGTTCAACTCCTGGGGGCTGGAACAAATCGAAAAGCCTCTTCCTAACGGAGTATATACTCATGAGGTCGCAAAACTCTGTGTTCCTGTTCGGCGGGATCACACGCAGCTCGCCTTCATCGCCGATTGACATGCGGCCTTTCGTCATCCAGTTACCACCACCAGAGTTATTATGGCGGTATGAAACGTATACTTCCGATTCATCTGTATCGAGTCCGACCCTCAACAGCATTTTAGAATTCCAATACTTCCTAAGAAGGTTCGAGGGATCAGCGGTGAGCGTACTCAAGCTTTTGTTAATCCTAGCCATGTGGCTGGCGGACCATTCCGGATTGCTTTGGAAGTATGACATACTACTGTGCACCTCGGGTGGTGCCACAAATAGAACGTTCATTTCCTTGTGTTCCAGCTTCCAGGTATACTCCAGTATTGGTAGGACTTCTAAGGTTTCGTCGGCGTCGAGCAAGTTGTTGACATCAAGCTGGATGACGCGAAGAGAAGACGACTGTTTGCCAATTATGCGAAGCCAGTCCATAGCCCAAATAGTGCCACTACGCTCGTCTGCATCTTTGGGGAGCTTTAAACGGAACACGTTTCGTGCGTACAAGACACCAGTGGCCTCATACTGGATTTGACAACATGACTGGAGGAGCGCAGTTCCGGAGATAATACTGTAGGAGCGGTAGCCGGAGTGGTAGCCGAGTCGATTGAGGTTCTTCGCATGGATCTGAATAGGATATTCGTGAATGAAGAGTGCCTCGTAGATGGCGTTGCGAACTTCTCCGGGCAGATTCAACAATGAAGGCGCATTCGGGTCGATTGGGTGCGATACTGGCGGCGGAACGTTGTACGTTGCAGTCGCCGCTTCCGTGTCTTTTTGCGTTTTCGCGATCTTGGTGACAGCCATGTCGCTTGATTCTACGTCACTGACGGTAGCGGGAGTCGCGCCACCGGCTGTGGTACCGGGTGTCGCACTCATGTCGCTCGCTGTCACGCTGCGAGGATCGTCTCAGTCGCCGTATCGCTGGCGATCGGTATCTTGAAATGGGTGTGTGAGAGGATAAAGAAGGGTAATCGTCGCTAGTGGGAAAAGCTTGCAGAGTCGAGGATTCTGAGTGAGAGAGGGCGACTGCCAAGACTGCAGCCGTTTGCTGCACGAGATGGAAAGAGCTACGTCATGGATAGCGATAACCGTAGAACTTCTTATGATACGCCCTGTATCTAAGCGAAGAAAGGTTTGCGAAGTTGGATTGGATTGCACTGTACGAATGCTCGATGCACGTATTGGTGTATGTGACAAATGACAAGGTTAGCCAGTTCGGAGGAGAGACCAAACACGTATTGAATATAGCAAAGGTTACACTAAAGGTATATAGTGCCTCTCAATGTTCCAGTTGTACTAGTTTCATGAGGCGCGATGACGCTATTGTCTTCATCAAAGCACCTAGCATCAAGAGACGATCGGATGCATGTCGCATTAGGTATACTACATGTCAATTTCTAGTTTGAAGTATACATTATCCTAGTCACTCTCGACTTGTTCAAATTTGATAGGCTGTATGCAGCAAGTTCCATCGCCTACCTAGTACCACAACCGTATTGCGGAATCACCCATAGAGTCAGGCGGAAAATTGCCTGGATCGAGCATGCTTTCGAACACCCCTTTAATCTCTTCGTAGCGTGATTGAATGATTGTCGAGCTGATGCCAACGTTCTCGTTTACGATCGGCTCAATAGAACACTTGCTCAAGTCCCACTCGGCTTCCCGCGCCTCGCCCCTGCCACTCATCCAGATCCTTGGTAGTTGCGCTAGCATGTGCTCTGGACTTTTCTTGAAGATCTGGTACATGAAGAGAAGGATGCTCTGTCGTATATCCTCAAGAGATATAGTGTAGCTGTTGATTGGGGCAGTGCCAGATTTGCGGTAGACTTCGATGCACACGGGCTTTGATAGGTAGCGACACCCCGTCGCATGCAAAAGCGCGAGAGCATCGAGCCGTACCTCGTCCAAGGAGGCATTGTTGTCCAGATAGTAGCGAATGATTATGTTCATAGGGTTTCCGAGAGGCAGTCCGCGGAGTATCTTTAGTTCAGCGGTGAAAGCTGCCAGGGTACTCGTACTTGTCAATGTGACACTAAACGCTCTTTCCCGGAAACCGACCTCGTGTGTACCAGTCAAGCAAGTAGTGACCGATGCGATGTGGGCCACATCCACGTTTGTTGTCCGGTTTGTGAGGTCAAAGATAATTTCCTCGTCTGGACACAACGCCATGGTCAAGATAGAGTTTCGAATTTCGTAGGACGACATGATGCGTTTGATGTCCGTAATCGGTGTTCTTTTCGAAAATCTACTCTCTGCACCGTTGTCGACTATATCAATAATGTCCATAGCTAGCGGGCGGTCGCCGCTGTAAGTTGATTCATAGTAATGAAGGTGAGCATGGTGGTCCAGGAAGTTCAGGCAAACTTCTCGCAGTAATGAAGGCACGGAACAGAACCTTTTGATCATTCCTGACGGATCATCAATGATTGTAGCCATCTGCCTGTTACATGAGACAGCGTTTATCTCGGCTGTTCTGTTAAGATCGTCACCTGGTGGGTCCGATTCCGGATACCATCTAGGGAGAAGTTCAACCTTCAAAGCCGCATGACCAGGCTCCCATACTCGATGTAGTATAGGTGATATATTGATGACATCATCTCGACCGTGGAATACGTTGTAGATGTGAGTTTGAAGATGTCGAACAGAGGAAGACTGTATCCCAATATCGTCGAGCCAGGCCATTGCCCATGGAATTGGATCAGTAATGTAGGGATCGTCCGCCAGACTTACACAGAAGATATTCCGACTGTAGAGAATACCAATAACTTCCTCGTGGATTTGACGGCATGTTCGAAGTAGCGCGATGCCACGTACGTCTCCCGACTGGTAACATGAGGAGTCGCCGTACGCATAACGATCGCGGGAGATTGTAATGGGGTGGCCTAACTCGAATAGAGCCTCGAAGATAGCATTGCGGACTTCGCCTGGTATTGTTGTCAAGAGAGACGGTGCCTCTGGGTTGATGGGGTGTGACTGCATCGACATGGTTTGGCCAGGTATCGCGGAAACGGAATCGTCGTTTGTCGCGCTCATGTCTTCGACTACGTAAAATTCTGGTAGTTGTTGGCGATATGAAGGAGTAGTAGCTCTGACAGAAAAAGCGCGAGGTCTAGTGGAGTAGAGTCGAAGTCTAGGACACGCCCCGATATATACGGCAGCGGATATGACAACATCCGTGCGCGCAGTGAAGTCGGAAGAGTCTACGTGATGAGAGTTGAATGTGACGTTCATATTACAAACATTCTCTTTGTATGTGAAGAGGATGCGTTGGTAAACCAAGCGAATGCGAGGACCGAACACCCGTGTCGGTTTCCTTGTCAAGTCGCGCCGTATTATTGGTGTCAGGAAGGAGGCGGCTTCTGCGAGGACTGATCGAAATCGCTCTGGTCGGAAAGTGCGTATACGTAAGTGCCGTCCGTTACGGCGTGGGCGGGCGCAGACATGGTCGTGTGAGGGATATGCGCGGTGTGTGACGCTGGTCCGTAGTCTGCATTTTGATCTTTGCCAGGTCCTTCCTGCATTGTGCTCCGACAGAGGCGAGGCTGTTTTGTGTGATCAGCATAGAGATTTTGTGGGGACCGACGAGGTTACGGGACCAGAACGGGTGTTGTAGACAGGCTGAGAGCGGGGCCGAGTTCTCACACCCATTTGGGCAGGCACGGCGGAACGCCACACCCCATTCCCCAACATTGTTACAGCGACTAGAAAGGGAAAGAGCAAACTGGACAAGTAACCTTGGGTAGGAGAATCAAGAACCAAAGAATGATACATGAATATACATAAGTGACGCGAAGTGTGCAGCGCATAGCATGACAGCACGAGCGACGGATGCTACGGGACAGACTCATTTCATTGAGCTCCAAGCCCCATCTTTTGCAACACGCTGGCCAAGTCAACCTCTACAATCTTGTCCCAGCCCCTCTCAGGGCCCCAAGCAACGCGCTTCTGATTGAGCTTGGTCTCTTCTACCAAGCCCTTCAGCAGCGGGCTGTCTTTGGACACGCTTGGATATGCGTCAAACTCCACGTCGTCAATCGACGGCACCTGCGCGAGCAAGCCTCTCAGCAGCCCGACGCAGTACTCAGTATAGAAGTTGTTCCCCACGCGCCAGCCCTCAAAGACCTCGTTCGATGCCGGATCAATCTCTACAAAGATTTTGAGTTTGTACACCTTCTTCACCGCTGCCAGACCGAGTCGGCTATCCACGACCCAGCATTTCGGCGGTTTCGTGAAGCCCGGCCCCAGTCGCAGCTCTAAGCGCGTGAGGAGCGCGCGGTATTTGCGAGGCAACCATGCAAGTAGCGGGTGCTTGCGGTTTATGTAGCGGCCGTGAATGGGGAACACGCGGAAGGTATTGCGACCGTAGAAGACGCGCGACGCTTCATCGTGCATGCGATGGTCGACGAGGAAGAGGCGGAGGGCGGGGGCGACGGTGCGGTAGTTCGTAGGGTCGAGGTCGATGGTCTTGGGGAAGACTAAAAGCTCTTCGTAGATGCGCAGCCGCAGCTCAGATGGCAGATCGAAGAATCGGAAGGGTTGGCGCTTCACAGCCTTCTTGTCATCTTCCTGCGCATCGTCTTGAGCATCGGGCGGCGGGGCAGCGCGCTCGTCCACCAGCCGCACTTTGCTCATGCGATTGACCATATGGTCAATCGCCTTGGTCTTACGGGCCATCTTATTGTACAGCGCTTCCAAAGCGATCACGTCTACCGCCTTGGTCGCGCTTATGCATCCATCGTGTCACTCGTGCGTATACGTGTCGGTATCGTTCGAGGGGAAGGGAGACGTCGCAATGATGAAAATTTCTTAATGGAATGTCTCGGAGCCACGGGACCGACAGCCCATTCGGTAGGGGCAGGCAGTTCTTGGGGGCAAAGATGTATGTTCTCCCCAGCTTATGTCAACTTCAATCTTGTAGAGGAACAAAGAGTGAGGTCAAATTTCGTGGGTGCAACTTTCTATATGGAAAAGAAGAGAGGGTGGCGGCGGCGCGGAGAGTTTTGTTCGAGCTCCGGCTAGTGAATTAGTCAGCGTGTGACCGAGGTAGCGCCGTGCGACCCACCGACAACCTGACATCACCCTCTAGCTCAATCCTAGAATGGCAGACACCACCCTCTCCCCGCAGGCAAGCGATGCTGCTACGGAAAGCAATCTTTTGCTTAAATGGTTTGGCATCGAGGCTTCATTGACCACTCCCCTGGAACTACGAACCCCATTCAATCCATTGGCCATTTCTTCACTAATTACTCCATCGGCCATTCCTCTGGAACTACGAGCCCGATTGCTTGACGCGGCGGCCTATTTTGAGGGCCCCGAGTACTGCGCGTCATCTGGCCCTACTTTGAGAGAAAGGCGTAGCCTTTTTTTGGACGCGGCAGCTCGAAACATCAATCTCACGTCTTTGCGTAGCTGGCACGCTTGGAAGGATTCCCTTGTTGCTCTACTTGATGCACAGCTTGCCAGATACCCAGTTGCTTCAGGACCGTCGCCTTCAACTTCAGATTCAAGTAGTGAGCATGATCTAAATCCATCGTTGACTGCATCCGCTGTTCACCGCGTTTTGAACATAGCGGAACTGGTCGAGCAGATCTTATACAGCGCGGACCTTCAGACCCAACTGCACGCCGGCCAAGTCTGTACGCTATGGCGAGCGACTGTGAAGCGCATTCTCCAGGACCCCTTCGAAGATACACCGCATCAGAACCCGGTCGAATACTCCGATGTGTGTTCGACTAACAATGACAACCTTCATGTAACCCCCGAAGAGCTACTTGCTTTCGAAGAAAAGGTCCACGCAATGTGTTCGATTCTCCTGGATACAAACGGATGGAACATATGGACGTACGCACCCGCTCGGCTTACTCAATCGCATATGCTCAAGCCATCCGTCGCAGAACTCGTGCGCTACGCATATCGCGTGGCTTGGGACATTAACCACGCCCCAGACAACGACTTCAAACCGCAGCCGCAGTGGCTGGACTTTACGCAGTTCACGTTGCATCCATGTCTGGAGCGCCTATACACTGGCGGATTCGAGACACATCGCGGTCGCTGTCACATTTACTTAAATACCAATGCTCCCACTGAAGGCCTCCTTCATCCGCTCAAGTTCCCACTTGGACCCTTGTACTCCCATATAGGATCGCACTTTGTCACCGACCCACCGTGTAGTTGCATCGGCATTTACACTCCGAGTGATCAGTGGCTGGAGGGGACTGCACACATTAATAAGCTAGTGGCCCGCATTTACAACAAGGACGGAATACGTCTATCCCATCTAACAAGTATACTAAACGCACATGCGGCGACCGTACTATTGGATTGGAGGGACCAAGTCGAGCGTATGCGAGAGAACTTGGCCACCCTGCCTCCAAGCGTACTGCAGCTATCATACCCAAGACGGCGTGCATTCACAGCCGGTGCCCGTCCGCACTTTATACTCACGCTCGATCATCACGACATGGATGAAAATCCCAATCTCTCCAAGCATGTGAGCCAACGGCCGTTGCTGATGGGTATGAGGATGTTGGGAAACGAATGGAAGACTTTGGATATCGCAGAGCAATATGTCGACACCAGCAGTGAGTGTTGGGCGGAGTGGATACCCGATACTTCTGCTGATGATTCTTTGTGGAGCATATAGCACGGCATGCCTTCAATTCGTTTTTTTCTTGCTATAGACTGTAGAAATTGCTACTACTGCTGCGTCACCCCAATTAGAAGTAAAAGTGGACACAGTAAAGTCTATGTGCTTAGTGATTAATGTTTGGAGAATCGATGCACTTCAATGCAAAGTATCACACCACTCGCCGTAGCCTCGGCTGCTGCGAGACCAGCAAAACACGTGCAAATCTAGATTAGATCTAGTGCGGGTTACGCGAGATTATGTCATCGCATCGTCCAAGCGCCTTCTGCACCTCTCTTCCACCCGCCGACGCCGAAACCGCGCTCCATCCTAAATCCACATACAGCCAACTAACACTATTCGGGATGTCGTAGCCATGGATCAACTGTCGCTGTATCGCCATCTACCAAATGCGGTCGCAATCATACCGTATACCAAAGCAAAATCTCAATGACCAGCCCGAACCAGTACCAGACAGCAGTCTGAGTCAAAGGCGCACACTCTATTTACCAAATGCGGTTCATATATTAGTGGTACCCAGGCATGCGTCGCGCAAACGATGATCTGGCTTTATTGCCCCACTCCAGGCTGCAACATTATACATCAGCACCGCTGAAGAGATATCTGCAACGCCCGTACAATAATCCATAGCCACCATCATCATCATCACCACCACACCAAGATGATGAGAGACGCAGCTCTCGAACTTCCATCGGGCACACGATCGGATGAAGAGCTCATCCTCGAATGGATTACCGAAGACGACATCTCAAACATCACGCCTGAGGAGCGAGCCCACTTTGTTCGATGGAGTCGTACATATGAAAATCTGCGCCTGCAAGGCAACAAAAGATGGCAGCCCCACAAGATGCGGAAGATACAGTCATGGAAGGACAAGATAATCGCCTTCACTAATCGACGAAAGGCGGAATTTTCTTACGTTGCAAATGATTCGACTGCGGCTCAGGCAGAATCATCTTCGCCTACCGCGCAAATCAGTGCAGCAGTCGCGCAACCAGCAGCGAGACGCGCCTTTGGGATCGCTGAACTGCGTGAGAACGTTCTCTGTCGGTTGGACGTCTACAGTCAATTGAGTGCTTGGAGGGTGTCAAGCTCGTGGCACGGCACTATCGAACACATTTTCCAATCTGACAACCACAACCGCCGCCTGTACGATCCTGTAGAATATGGCGACGCTCAGATTTCTGGAAAGACCCCAGCGTGGTTACAGCCCAGCTTCGAAGAACTCGAGAACTTTGCAGAAAAGGTCTGCGGGCTTGATGGTCCAGGCTTCGGACTACTATATGCACCTGCCCGCCTATCCCAGGCTATAGCATTGACGGTGAAGACTATAGATCTTCTTCATGCCCAATATGCGCATTTCTGGGCCCCGGCAATGCCATCTCCGTATGGCATACAGTACGATAATACCAGCTTACCGGTACCGCAATGGCTGGACTTCACCCAATTCCAACTCGCACCCTGCGTCGCCGATATCTTCGGAGAGCGGTTCCAGATGCAGCGAGGCAGGTATGAGGTCTCCCTTAGAACGAATGCACCCACAGCAAACCTGCTATTAGGCCCGGATGTAGACGTCTTAGGTCTTCGCCGATGCCTGGGCTCAACATTTGCCACACAACCACCTTGTCAGACTATCGGTGTTTACGCGGTACAGGCACAAGAGGAACCCACCCTGAGACTTCTCGAGCGCATCCACGACATCGAAGGCATTCGTCTTGTCCAGCTTCTCGAAACACTTCACAAACAAACTGGCTCTCTTCTGGAACACTGGAATGCGGAAGTCGTCAAAGTGCAGACAGGTCTCAAATTCCATGAACCGGCTGAATTATACCAATTCGCCATGAAGAGAATGCATTGGGCCCGATCGACTGCAACCCCAAGATTTGTCATACTGCTAGACAAACATACCATGGTACAAGCGGCAGACTTACACGGGCACTATAGTCGCGCGGCGTTGCTTTCGAACCGGTCAGACCGTGACGTCTTGACAGATGAGTGGAACAAAATGGAGTATCGCGATGAATACATAGACAGCTTCATGGTTGCACCTATAGAGCCATCAAGAGAGGCTTTGCTTTGGTCTTCGGAAACGGAAGAAGAAGTAGTTCGCAAGATCCAGGAAAGCGAAGTAAGATATAACGAAGCATTTAGGGGACTAATGTTTGGAGGTTACGGGCTTTAGCAATTACATGGTTCTTCGTTCGAAGATCAGAGAGAAGTGCAGGATGCGGTTCTAGGCTAGCTCGCCTTCGATCATGAAGTGGGGTCAAGATCGGAGTCGGCGGCGTCTGGATGGACTTGCGACTCTCCGTCGTGGCACATTCTAATCTGTAGTCACCGAGATAATACGAATATTGTTTCTGCGCCTCGTATCGTCCAGGATTTGGTACCTAGGCACTTCCAATTACACTACCTGGCATTTAGCCAATGTTTCTGACATTCGAAATGCAGCGGGGCAGACGATTGAGCAACGCGAAAGCGAACAGATCAAAGCTCTGGGGGCACGCTTATTCGACAGAGTATAGCAATACAAACTCGGCAAGGCACTGATACCTTTGGACTTGGTGGCGTGGCAACATCACATGGAGACGTATCCTCACAACTCAACCAGATGAAAGTCGGTTTCGGGGTCCAGCAAGCACACAGTCCTCCATCCAAAGATCAGTCAATACGTCGAGAATGAGGTTCTAGACTTCCGGAGTCTTGGAACGACGGAGTTTCGGCAACGCTACGGATTCCCGCCCAACGGTTTCCAGAGGCCTAACCGTGCGCCAAGCAAACTGCATCCCCAGATTTGGCCTAATGGTAGTCTACCAGTCGAACATTGAGCTAAGCAAACCCAAGGCTGCCGAGCAGCCGGCTACTTCGAGTCGAAGCGTGCTACCATTACTCCGGAGTACACTCCAAGGAGTTGTCAATGTTTAGCCAAGGCGACGCCAATTATTGTACCTGTTTTAGCAGAATCGTGGCAGACGTCATCTGTGAGAAGATGTGGGTTATATCAGTTATTATAGCCACGACTGCTCGAAGTTGCAGCAGTACATCGCCCAGATTACTATCCCCAAGAACAACATGCGCGATCAAAACGAGAAGATGTCATCAGGACCAGAAAATACCGCTGCAGGGCAAAAGCACGATCCTTCCATCAAGAATCCGCTCGTCAACTACGGACAATTGCCAGGATGGCGCCAAGAAAACCAATACATCGTCACCAAATACTGTTCCGCCCGCAATTCATACCGCCAATCCATCAAAAGCCTCACATACCTCCATAATGAGACCGGAAACATCTACACCCACCTACTCTTCTTAGTCACTGTTTTGCTTCTCACCACCTACAACCTACCGCAACTAGGCGGCCCAAAACAGTGGTTCCCCTCCCCACGCAACGGTGATTTATTGGCATTTTCTGCATTCCTCGGCGGTGTGGTATTGTGCATGTTGTTCTCCGTCACGTACCACATCGTCCTCGACCATTCAGAATCTGTGGCGACGGCTGGCAAGCAGTTGGATTTTGCGGGCATCACGTGTCTTATCTGGGGCAGTTTGATTGCGACGCTATACTACACGTTCACCTGCGAGGTAGAGCTCATGCGCACCTACATGCTTATTGTAAGCTGATTTGGTGCTACGACGTGGGTTGGAAGCTGCTTACATGGAATATAGTTCACGGCTTTTGGCGCTATCATGCTGCTCTTCTTTGCTTCGCCTCTGGCTTCCAAGTCTTGGGCACAGACCCTTGTAGTTCCGCTTTTCGTCGCTTTTGCCGCCGCTGGTATTTTTCCGCTGTGGAGGGGTATTCAATTGTATGGTTGGGAACGAATGGACGAAATGGCAGGCTTACGATGGGGGTTGGCTTGCGGCTTCGTCTGCCTGGCTAGCCTGGTTCCCTTTATGGTATGTAGTCGTGCCTTACAACGCTCAACGATAGCTGGACTAACAGAAGACAGACGCAATTCCCAGAGTGTTGGAAACAAGGCGGATTTGATATGTGGCTCTCATCGCACCAGATCTTCCACATCGCTGTGGTGATTGCTGCGTCTTTGCATTTTGTTGGGCTGATGAAGGCCTACTCGTTTCAGCATATGCACATGCAGATAGCGATTTGCCCCATGCTGAGTACGTGGAAAGATGAGCTCATGTATTTGAAATGAATGTGATGATACGCCGCAATCGTATCAGCCTCCAGAGTGCGGTTTGGTGTAGAACCCTCACAACTAAGTGCTGATACCAAGAACTCTCCTCTTTGACTCAGCCTTACCGCCATCAGATATGCGACACCAAGCCTCCCCAAAGCAAAATACTGACTAATAAGAAGAACATGATTAACACAACACAAAACCCAATCACACCTTCAAGTCTCCGCCACCTAACCTCTTCATCCCTCCATATCAGTACCCCAACAATATTTTCAACACACTCATACCACAGCTCCAGCACTGCCGCAGGAGCACCAAACGTGGCGTCCAAAATGCACTCCGGGCCGTCATGCTTCAGCACCAATCGCCGCGTCTCCCGGTCGCAATACTTCATGACCCACTCAACCAGCAGCGTCCAAACATAGACGTCTAACTCGCAACGGAGCTGTTCGATGCTCACAACGCGGTGGCCCGGCGAATGAACAGTACGATCGAAGTAAACTCTCATCAAATAGAAGAACCGATGAACCGCATCCCTTGTCGTAGCCTCTTCATCCTGGCCAAAATCAGCCAGCATAGCGCGTCTCAGAAACCCGTTGTCCATCGCACGAGCCAAAGCGCGCGGTTCCAGATACGAGACTACCCTCATCGCGTCCTCGATGTGAATATCAATCTCCTGCGCCGGACTAAACTTCTCGGTGTTCTGAGCAATGGACATTAAATCCAGTTCTTCAAGCTCCATAGCAGGCCGGTACCACTCCACACTCCACTCCTCTTCTTCCTCTAAAACGCACTGACATAGCGGGCTACCAAACCCCTCTATCATCTGCTTCACACAGACTCCGTGGTTACAGTGTAATGTACAGTGTGGTGCTGGTGGCGGCACGCTCTTGCGGATGTTGAGGACGTCTTGGAAGGCGGGGAAGCGGTGGGTGTTTGTGTCTTCGTTTATTCCGGCGAAGAGGGGGGATGGAGGTGCGACGGGGAGGCGGAGGCTGTAAGAGGGGATTTTGATGCGGAGGTGTGAGCGTGGAGGTGGAGGTGGGGGTGGAGATGTGGATAGGAAGTCCGTGTCTGTGAACTTCATGATTGTGGGTGAAAGGGTGCTTGATGGATGTTTGCTCGAGAGAGGGAGTGAAATACAATGGTTTTGGTTGAGATGGTTTTGGTTGTCTGAGAAGGGACGTTGTGCGCATATGAAGTGTGTACTGAGCGCTGTGTTCTGGGTGGCTAAATCATGGATGGATGGCGGTGGATACACACGGAAGCTTTCACTCTTTGATTGCTTGTGACGATACTGATCAGGCGTACGAGACATCAAGTACACTAATCCCAGGTAAAATCGCAGCTCTCCTCGCTGTCGCTACTCTCTCCACTCTCGCTGCTTTCCTCACTCCCACAGCTCTCAAACTCCCACCAGGTCTTCTTCATTCTCTCCGTCCTCATCTCTCCATCCCACCACAACAATACCGCAACAACCATCTCTACAATCCCCTCCATCCTCTCAAACAGCACCTCAACTCCCCTACTCATTGTCCCCTTGATCCAAGTCCTTCTCGCCAGGCCAAAGCACCCTTTCAACTTCCATGCTCTCTCCGCGGCATTATCACTTCGTTCCACCTGGTTGCGGAAACACCATTCAGACACCCACCAGAAGATATCCAAACGCATGACTTCCGTCATCTCTTTCACTAGATCCGCGATGGTGAGAGTGCGGCTTTGGTTCTCGAGGGGCGATAGCGTGATTGATAGATAATTGAGCAGTTTGGAGATGAGGATGTTGGCTGCGCGGGTGGCGGCGAGGTATTGAGCGGGGTAAAGTGTGGTGCTCCTTGTGAAGTGCTTGGATCCGCGGAGATATTTTGTAATATCGAGATATCCCATGCTTCTCATCTTTTTGACTAAGGCGGTGGCGGACTCCAATTTCAGGGTAATCGTCTCGTTATGACCGGTCATCTCGTATGCTCTTTGGGCTGTCAGGATATCTTGGAGTCGAAGACGCGATATCCTTTCTTGTCTGGAACTGGTATTTTCGAGGATGGGAAGTTGCCTGCAACATCTGCATACTTTGGGCTCAATATTGCGCTTCCTGTCTCTGTCGGTAATGGTGCGGCATACGTGATGCTCGCAGTGTCGAATGCAGTGGTTGATGTCATGGTCATTGACTGTGACCTGGTCATTGTTCCGCTTCCACTCTTCCCAGTCACCATAATGTTCTTTATATGCCGGAAACTGCTCCAATTCTCGCGCTAGTGGCTGGTGGGTGAATGGGCATGGCGACGGGCTTCTCGCTCGGCAGAGAATTTTGGGGACACTCGACCGGAGAGGACGGCCGGTTCGAACAGGCTTCTTGGATTCTTTGCGATGTTTTAAAGCCAAATACGATGACGGTATGTATTGCGTAGTGGAATCTTCGCCCAGGTGGTCTGGATGCATGCACATTGCGTCGGCGACGTTTGCTAAGAGGTGAAAAAACATTTTGTTGGACAAGATGTTGATGAGATGAGATGACAAGATGAAGTTTGAATGAGAGCAAAAGAGTATTTTATATGGGTAGCAAACCTACCAGAATCTACAGCTTACTCCATGGTACGATAGGTACCTCTGACTCTACGCGACTATCCATCCTGAACTCTGGTCGGCTGGACGAGAGTGGGCCCGGGCAACCAACTAGAACTGTGTCGTTTACAATTCTAGCGAATGGCCATCTCACAACAATTATTCGCACCATAGTTCTCGATGTGTGCGATCTCTTTCTGTCAACAAGCGACGAGCGTGTGGTCTTCTCTGCATTTGAAGTTAACCGTAAGCTGTGGTCAGTCATCGCGGGCTCGTGCAGCGCGCGTACACTACGTAGACACCAAAACCGCGATTTGGTCTGGGAACGAAAAACACAATTCGGCGCTGACCGTGGAGGTTACATGGAGACAAGGTCTCGTTCCGTGAGTTTGGATGCACCGTGGCAGCGACGGGTAGATTACTAGTCTCTATCGGGGAAGGCTCCCTGTCGATCATGACGCAACGCGATTTCGCATCCCACCGTCGACTGAAGCACGCCAGACAGCAGCCTTCCGACCTTCCACGATGCCACCGCTCTAAACCCGATTGTTACCCCTCGACCGTATAATTCGAAATGGCGCTCCCCCTGAGCATCTTCCTCGGCGGCTGCGTCGTCGCCATCCCCGTCGTCACGGGCGTCGCGCAAGGTGTCGAGCACCAAAAGAAGCAGAACGAAGAAGCCGCCAACGAGTCGCGCATGTGGAAATTCAACTGCCTCGTAGCCTGCGACGACCCCGATCCGATCGCAAAAGAAGAAATCGACAATGGCATCCTCGTCGTGCGCCACGATAAAGTCTGGGTCGTGCCGAGGGATGAGGACAACAAGCCCATGTGGCCGGATGGGGCGGATGGGGAAGGAAGAGAGCCTCTGCATCCATTTGCAGGCTTTTACATTGCATATCCAGATGAAGACAGGAGTCCGCCGGAAAGAGGGCTCGTTACTACAATCAGCGACGACCCGCCCATGCTGAACTGGGTTTATTGCGACAAGAAGACGTACGAGCTACGCTACTCGAATCGCACCGGCAGCATCATGCACCATGTCGGCGTCTGGGACTGGACCGAAGACGAGACGCACCTCACGTTCGAAGGCTGGGAGGGTTTCATGGCTATCGACGAATGGGATGGCGCCGACGAAGACCCGGACACACCGTGGGGCAAGGAAGGGCTGCGCTGGGCAGTGTACTTCGACAAGGACGACAACGGGCTCAAGGGGAGGCACAAAGGAAGAGACATGTTTGAGATCAGCCTCAAGCGCAGGATTCAGAGCGCGGAAGAGCAGTTGAAGCAGAATGAGGCTGCGGAGAAGAAGATGCAAGTCAAGAGTCGAGGTGGTCTGAGTACGCAGTTTGCCGCGCCGCAGAAAGAGCGAGACAAGGAGTGGGAAAAGAAGTTTGGCGAGAAGGCGAGGCTGGAGCTTGAGAAGAAGTTGGCGAAAGACCAGGAAGAAGGGCAGGGACCCGAGTGGGCTAGAGGCGATGTCGGGAAAGAAGAGTGAAGATGCGGATGAGACCACAGAAAGCTTCACGAGGAGTAGCACTCCGATGCTGCTTCATGGCGCGCTTTGCTAGAAGGCTACCCAGCACCCTACGCACACGGAAGACCATGCAACGGTCGCCACCTCGTCCACGATCCAGATTGCTGACTTCCACGAACCCTGTATGTGCGCTCGTACAGTCGCTACTGATGAGTGCACTGAGTCCTGAGTGACTAACGCCTTGCCTCTGGTGCTACCTTTCGACAGCTCGCGCGGTTCACTTTCGCATCCGAGGGTTGCGACTCATCGATGACACACACTCAGGGTAGTCACCTTGCCATGGCTCATGTTCATTCTAAGTATAAAGATGGCTCGGTGAATATTCAATGCCCTCTTCTCTTGCAGTCCTACAAGAAGGGAAGTCTGCGTCAATCAAGCTACTCCATCCGAGACCTACCCGTTACGATCGATTCGAGATGTCCGACGACCCAGACTCTTTATCCGAAAAGCAGCAGCAAAAGCTTGCTTGGGATCGGCTGCTTGAGGCTGAGTCACTAAGTACAGCGCAAGACCAGGCCAGACGTTATCCCACCATAGCACTGGTCAAAGTGCTCTGGAGGGTTGAATGTTACCTGTGGGATGGAAAAAAGCATGTCGGCCACACTAGCAGGGAAACCGTCGCAGATGAATGCAAGAATGTCTTTGGCTGGAATGTCAAAAAGGTGTCGCAATGGACATACAAGTACACCAAAAGCGTCGGAGATTCAGACCCACTGAAATGGATCGATCCCCCAGACCAGACAGCTGCCAGGTACGCGTGGACAGACTTAGAATACGATGTCTTACGGAAATGGAGCGAATGCTACATTCAGAAAGGGCGTAAGTTGACCATTATGGTAATAGCTTGGATATCCTTACTCATATCATACATAGTTTGGTGGGCAATGGAGCTGAGGAGGCCATTTGCAGAACACAATAAAGACATGGCTCTCAACACAGATGGTCCACTCTTGCCCAGGGCTACAGCTGATGAGTTGTTGAAACGTATGGTCCATGCAGCTGTGGGACTCACGGATGCCGTGAAGGACTGGATCCGACTCAGCGCTGAAAATGGTCCCGAGAGCTAGCGTACTCGATGGCGCAGCAAACAGTACAAACCGTTACTCGTGGCTTGTGGATGAAAGGAATCAGGTCGTTGAGTACACGTGGTTTCAACTCTATTGCCATGTAGTCCAATGCAACTAAAATGACAATTAAAAGACTGCTCGCAAGATCCGGTTGCAATTACTGCAGCGTCCAGTCTCCTTTTTCCTTCTAGTGGCTTGGATATCCATTATCTGTAGAGCATGGTTGCCGATTTGGTTCATTTTGCATACAAGGCGGGCACTACCAGTCCTTCGGCGCTTACGTACTCAGCTTCCTAAAGCTTATTATCATCACGGGTGCCCATGCGTACGCTACAGCTCCTTGGTCCTACACGAACATACATTTTGACTCCTATCGACTCTACGTATGAGCTGAAGTAGTCATCGCTGATAAGCGCATTGGCTTCTAAGCGACCATCGTTGGGTGTTGGTGTCACGTCTTGACAGATTGCGCCGCCCTACATCGCACCTGGATTTATACCAGCCATTCAAGGTCCTCAAGTATGGGCTTGCAGCTTACGCGACGTCTACCCGCTCATAGATTTTCACGTCACACGCGCCTCTTCGGTCGCTCCGCGCTCACGTACCGTGTCGCAACAGTCAACTCTACGATGACACATCCACTGGTCTTTGAGTACTTCAAGAACGACATTGACTTCCATATGGTGAACACAGCTCTCTCAGCTAGTGGCTATTTGCTGGATAGTACGACTCACAGCAAACAGAGGCATTCCAGTCATGTTGAACGATGGCTCACACTTTTGGAGTATAAATCGGCGGTCCTTCGATCTTTCCCACGTCTATAACATTTCAAAGAACAATTTGACACTACTGAACCCTCCATGCCCAAGGTGCACGCTTTGCATCTTAATCAGAATGCCATTATCTGCAGAGTCTGAGAAGACTCTCACCCCAGAACAACAAGCTGCCTTTGGAAAGTTGGAAAAAGCCGTCAAAAGCTGCCGGCCCACAAAACAAACGCGCGAGGCGGTCGAGATGGCCAAGCTCCGTCCGGATATTGCGCTAGTGAAGGATATGTGGAGGATCAAATGTGTTGTCTGGGATGGCAGGAAGATTGACGCCTGGGCGAGCAAGAAAAGCATTGGGGACGCTTGCCGACAGGCGTTTGGGTGGGAGGTAACAAAAGAAGACGATTGGTGGTACAAATACACTATGAGTCTCGAGGACACACCTGAGACGGAACACTTCTTTGACTGGATCTGCCCGCCAGATCCGATCCCGGCGTCTGTGAGGGTCAAAGACAAATGGGAAGATTGCTTCGTCCAGACAGTGCGTGAGTGACTCGTCTTTCCATACATTATTGCATTTATAAGCTAATATAATGAACAGTTTGGTGGTCAATTAAACTAAGGGAGCAGTTCATGGAGACTAATAAAACGGAGAAGCTCGACATGAGCTTGCTGCTAGATGAAAGCAGAGCAAAAGAAGACCTCTTACCAGCTCTAGGGGATGAGGACGGGAACCTTCCGCATGTAATAAGGGACTGGCTCGACAGAAGTGCAAAGCCGCGCGCGGCTGAGGGCTCTTGATGAAATTGGCGGACGACAAGGGCATGGCTATTTCACACTTTCGGGGCAGAGAGGAATTACTTCGGCTGCGTCTGATGTACATTCATTATCCCATCTAACGCCGAGCCTCTCGATACGAGGACTAGGTTCATACGAACCAGCTACAACTACACCAGTATCCTACAGCATCATCCTCTTCCACAATAGGCCCGGGTTCATTGCCAGTAGGTCTGTTGATCATCAAAGCGTGGGCGCTGAACGGGTGCATATGGACCCATGCCCAGCTGCGCGTCTTCGGCACTGCGTTTAAATCCTCGATTGGGTCTGGGAATAGCAAACCGGTGTTGGTATGGAGCGTGCGAATAGCCTTGGGTCATGTGCGGCATATAAGACGGCGACGGCGTGCAAGGTGTCACCGGTGATGGCTGCGTGCTTGGGGAATAGATTCCGTGCATCGATGGCGTTGGACTCGGGGCATACGAGGCGGATGGCGAAAGCATGTTTGGTGAAACCATGTTCGACGAACGCATGCTCGGTGATAGCATCCCAGGCGAGGGCAGAGCGTGATGGAAGACAGGTTGAGGGCCATGATGGTAAGAGTTCCCAGTGACATGCTGGTTGTTCTCGTACTGCCCGCCATTGTCGCCCGCGTACTGAGAGACAGTCTGAGTATTGTTCGATTGGACGTCGCCGATGATACTCGTTTGAACATTGGCAGGTGGCAGAGGCCCCGATGATTGCAGGCTCGTCGCGACATTTAGATCCAACTCTTCCTCAAGGTCGTTCGAAGGCAGGCTCATTGCGACACCTGACTCGAGTTCCTTATCACCGTCCGTGACTGAGGCTTGATCTTCCGGTGACGTCGTAGCCTTCTTCTCTTTCACCCTCGTTCGACCTTCTGCGATATACTTCTGGCGATTTCCATTCTGTTCATTGTTCAGGATTGTGCCCGTAATTTTATCGGGAGCCGCACCCACAGTAGTTTCAAGATTCTCACCCTTGAGCAGCGAGAAGCAGCGACCCTTGGAAAGCCGTAAGAGCTCACAGAGACTATTTATACGCTCACCAAAAGTAAGGTTGCGGGATTTGTACATCGTCTGCAGTGGCGTCGTGTCGTAGATGGAGAACGATTTCGGGCCGAAGAAATGTAGTTTCTCAGCGGTGTCAACTAGCTGCCAGCACACCTTCTCCATCTGGTCTTCATAAATCGCCTTTTTGGCACCTGGAGTCAATCGTTTCGCAAATCGGTCCTTGTCTTGGTTGTCCGGGCAGGCAGAAGTGTCTTTCATTGCTGCTAGTAGCTCAGCGACGTGTCCAGCTCGGTCTTCGTCAGTAGTCGGAATAGTGCTGTCATTGGCAGGCGGCACCCAGTCGTTTTCGATATAGCGGTTAAGCATGCTATCCTTCGCTTCTGCCAGATTCCGAAACGAAAGTCCAAAAAACTTGGGTTGAACTAGAGCTATTGCAGTAGCTGGAGAGGGTGCCGATGGGCTGGGTGTCATGTAACTGTAACAGGGGTCGAATGGCGAGTGTACGTCCACCAAATGTGTTGGCGTATTCGTAGCACTGACAGGCTCTATGGATAAATAACGAGGAGGTGGGGTGCCTGCATAATGCTGGGGTGAAGACTGCTCGAGCATCGGTTGGCTGTAGCCATTGAAGCCATTTTGATACTGACCATCGTCAAGTGCAGATAGAGGAACATCATTCGGCTGATAGTTCCCTATGCCATAATCTTGAATGCCAGGTTGAGCAAAATACACAGGGTCGCCATTGGCAGACAGCATTGCGCCCTCGTTATCCATAGTTGTCTGGAATTGAGCTTCATGGAGCAATGGTATGTCTAGACCGCCAATGCCAAGGTAGAGGCTATCGTCGAATGAATTGTTATCGCTCTGGTAGTGGTCTTGAGACATAATGCCTTCGGTGAACAGGGTCGACGTGTTGAGGAGAGGTTGCGAGTATCACCCGGATTCCGATCGGTCGAGTTGAAAAGAGTGACTGGTTAAGAGCTTGGAAGGTTGTAAGCTGGTGATGGGTGGAAAGGAAAATCTCACACATGCTTTTAACCTGTCGAGGCGCTTCCGCTGAGTGAATCTCATCATCTTCGCAAGTTTGCTACTTGAAGCATCGCGATAGCACAGTTGACTCGAGGGCTATGTGCTTGCATGTTTGCTTCCTGCCGAGAGAATCCATGGGAAAAGTCTTGTACGCTGTGAGACTATGATGACTGCAAGTACAAAACTGATACCAACGTCGGCTGGAGACGATTCAAGCGATAGATACGAGTGTTCCAGGATAAGACTTCAATACTGTCGCAAAGTATGTAAAAAAAATAGCTTAATTGTTCTGCAAGAGCTTCTGTCACCCATTGGAACCGTGATAGCACTAATGCGCAAGTTTCACAAAAGGCGGCATTGTCAATGGGTCCTTCATTGGTTGCTGTCGATCAGTAGTTCGTTGACAGTGAATTGGGAACTCTCAAGACAGTAATTGAGAAGCGCGATAAGCATCCTTGAGGTACCTAGAGCGCCCTGCGTATGCAGTGCGTGATAGCGAAGGGCGGTGCGAATGCATTGGTGGTAGAGAGCGGCGTGTTGCCGATGAAGTTCCGACGCGTCGACGGCGCGACTGAACGCGTCACAACCGCATCCGGACATTAGCGGCTTGGCTGACAACATTCTCCTCTTTACGGAAGCGACTCCTCACTTCAGCACCTCACATCGCGTCACCGCGTCGCCATCCAATTCATCCCATCTACACCCCGTATGGTTGCGCATAGTTGGGATGATCATACGACAACCTCCGATTTCAGGTTCATCCACGCGCTTTGCCACAAAGAACCCCGCATCGGCCAGTACGCACGATCATCAGCACGGCAACTCATCATCAAGTCGAAGTCTGCAACCTTCAGGCAACTGCGAACGATCATACAAACAGATATGGAAGGCTTGGGTTCAGAACGCCAATTGTTCTTCCGCCTCACGCTGGCCACCGCTATTTATGACGCTAATTCAGCTGGATGACTGACATTATACCACAAGTTGTCTACGAGTACTTTAACTCGCACTGACGCCATTTTATTGTAAACATACCTCATCCACACGCGCGACTAACCTGTATCCAACGAACCGCTATATCCTCGCTCTCGTCCGACGAAACGCCGACTTGCTCCGGCTTCGCCTCCAGTCGCTCTCATTACTGGCTAGTCCGATCATCGCCCTTCTCCATCTCGTCGCGTTCGTGCTCCCTCCACAGCCTCCCCAGCTGCTTCATAAAGTCGTCGTCGTAGTATGACCACGTCTCTGGTACCTTGGTGCCTTTCCACCCGAACACCTCGCGAGACCTCTGGTTCATAATGTTGTTGTACTCGATGGGGCGGTCGCTCTCTGGCAGTTTTGCAAGCTCCAATATCGTCAAGCCACCGATCTGGCATACAAGATGGATCGTCTTCTTAAAGAGCCTAGATGGTGCCGGTTGGTCGGGCTCCCATTGATCTTTTTCGTCTTCATGCAGGACTACATAGGACTGTTTGAGGACAGCGCTATCCACGCCAATTGCACTCATAACATAACTTGTGATCGGCCCACGTCCACCATTGCTGTTTCTCCAATGCCAGAGCTTGATTTTAAAGGTAGATAACTCCACGACAGTCTGCGGTATCGCTAATGTGCTGCAATCGATACCTGTAGGGTCAAGTCCAATCGTGTACGTATACTTATCGCCGACGCGGCGGGGACGAGTAACAAGGTTCGTATACTTATCTTCCCAATGCAGAAATCGAGTCTGGATACCGTCGCATGTCAGACCCCGAAGGTAATCACCATGTCGCTTTACCATACCCGCGGTCTTATCCGCAGGCAGGTTCTGCAATACGTAACACTGCTTGTCGATAAAGGTAGTCTGCGGGAACAAAGAGTATGCCCTGTTCCAAGTGATAAAGTTTAATGTCGCGGTAGATGAAGCCGCGTGGAGCAATTTGCATAGAGGAGAATCCCTCGAATCCAAGACACAGACGGTCAACCCATCATACTCGGCCTGCGGCTTTCGGAATATGGTCAAGCCCGCCTTGTTGTACTCATCAGCGATCCACCGTTCTTGCTCCAGGAAGTCGAATATCGGGGCACGGAGGTCCAAGGGCTTAACCTCTGAGTACTATTATATATGTATAGTTCTTGCACGGGAGTTTGCAGCTCGTTAGCAATGAACTTGCGGGCAAAGTCACCGCCAATGATCGCGCCGGTGTTGGCTTGAACTTGTCTGAACGCCTTGGGATCCTGGAAGAAGGTTTTGAGTTTTGTCTCAATGTTCTGGTAGCATGAAGGAAGCCCGCTGATGAGCGCAGTACGAACGCCTGTCGATACTTCAATCAATGTCGAGAACTCCTTCGGGCCGAGGTACGAAATGAGAGTCTCCTGCACTGGCGCTAGCGAGGACGAGAGGAGATGAGGAAGATTCATGGTGATTGCGCGGGTTGAGGGTGGGGGTTATCGTTACGCTGCACCGTAAATTAATCCGGAAGGCGCAGCGAATAAGTACTCGCATAGAGGAACGCGCAGGCAGAAACGGCAAGGGAATCACGTGTCGAATGTAAGCCTTCCCAGGTTGGCTTCAGTGTATCGCAACCATGGATCTCAGTGAAATCTCATCTCATCAACCAAAGTACGCCACAATCATATGCTGCTGTTGGTGCCAGGAAGGAGCGATGGGAGATCAAAACTTCGCACTTGCACGGCGAGGGAAGGCTGCATTGCCGATGGATTCGGTTAAACCTGCCGACACGGAATTCATACACTCTTCCAACAAGCCAACTTCCTTCGACTATCGGAAGGTTTCCCCTGGCGCCTTGCATGTGGCAAAGTCTTCTGGTGAGCAGCCTCGCGGCATTGATACGTGCGGAACTTACCTAGCAGCTGACGTGTGCTGCTCCTGCGAAACAATCTATTGGCTGGTTAATTCGCGATCGGGCAGTGTTCATTGTACCGAACCCAGAGGTACGGTTTGCGCAACGTCAACTTCATCCCAGAAATGCAGCAATAATGGTTTTCGTTGAAAGTATTGGGCTCGGTGGAGGACTCCCGAGTCTTCAGGTCTGACGTCATGAGCCCGTGCTGCGATAAGACAATGTCCTGCGCCACCAATTACGAATCCTGTCCTCACCAAGTACAGATTAATTCGATGAGCAGCTCTAAACCTGGCCCCCACGAAGGATTCGCGCGCAATAATCTGGATCCTCAATGCAGCAAATGCTTACTTCCAAATGTACGATCTTCCCTCGGCTTGTTCCATATTTGGTCCATAAGGGCTGCGTTGGAGGCGATGCATGCATGCGCGAGTCAAGCAATAGATACATAATAGTCCACGGCCATTCAGCAATGGCCTAACATGAGGTAGTACCAAAATTTAAGATGTACTACTCTCCGAATACTCTCTTATCTTCCCTTACTTTCAGACTTTCATTATCCTATAAGCGGCGTGCCAGATTCAGCGGCTGGCGTGGTGGGTTCGTTTTTGCCATTATCGGCTCATCACTAGTCCTTCTTTTCAACACCATATGCGCCATAGTGGCTGCTGCAGCCGGTAACCCACAAGACGGGATTGCTACGATCTACACAGGAAAATGTGCTTTTGCATCGCGTTTAACAACGGGTCTTCAACTCCTCATTAATGTACTAAGCAGCGCCTTGTTGGGTGCATCCAGTTATTGTTTACAACAACTTGGGGCACCTACGAGAGACGAAATTAACGAAGCCCACGGAAAAGGCAAGTGGCTGCATGTGGGAGTTCTCAGCCTAAGAAACCTACCAAATATCAGTAAGAGAAGGCAGGTTGTCTGGCTATCGCTTGCTATAAGTAGCATACCTCTGCATTTTCTGTGAGTACATTCCGCCATAACAGAGGGCTAGAACTCGTGTCGCATTCTACGAAAAAAGTTTTACAGCAAGAGTCTACATTGTCTTAGAAACTGCACAGTTGTTGACATTTAAAGGCATGTATATTGCAGAGTGCGTCACGAATCCTAGCCTCCCCTAGTGCCGCTTTGGAATTGTAGAGCAGACTTGCTAAATGAAGAAAGGTACAACTCGGTCATATTCCAGACAACAGCAACGAACGACATCGACTTTGTGTTTGCACACGAAGCTTTCCTCACCACGAGGGGAGGGTGGAAGCTCGAGGGCGGAAACCAGGGATACAGTTCCCACTTTCAAGCCTTACAGGACACACTTCTGGGCGAGCAATATTTGAATGCGTCTCGCTTTGAGAATATCTCTGCTACCGAGTGCTTTCACCGGTACCAGACGACCTTGTTAAAGGTCGGCAATTGCTTCGCCATTATACCGAAAGACTCATCAAGCGATTCCAACGACACCGGCTCGCTCGTAGAGTTCTATGTGAGCCCTGGAATACTCACGTTCGATAAAAGCTTTCTTAGCGAGGTCTCGTGTAAGTTTACCTAGGTATCCGAGCCTGTGTGTCACCTTATTGATCTCAGTCATGTCCCACAGATTGCTTGAGTGAGATCTCACCTGAGCGGTGCCAAGTACAGCTCAGTCAGAGCATTATTTACATTGTCATTGCGTGCAATGTGTTGCACTTGGCGCTCATGTTTGTGGTGCTTAAGTGGATGAATTACGAAACCATCGTCACAGTGGGCGACGCTATCGACACATTCATCCGAATACCAGACACTACGACCAAAGGGTTCTGCTTGATGACTAATCGCAGCATAAACCAGACGTGGAAGATATCGGAAGCGCAACGAATCCAGCGATATCAACCCGGTAGACACGTCCGTTGGTACAGCGCCATCAGCGGCAAGCGCTGGCTCTTTTTGGTCGCTTCGTAAGACCACGCTCATATAATACTTTTATGAAACAATATATCTGACACACTGCAGATACTCATCGGCAATCGTTTCCGCTATATACATGTACAGCCTCGCTGGCGGTCGCTCCAAGAATTGCAGGAATGACGACGGTGTTTGGGAAATCTGCCAGTGGAATGGCTTCGGAAACGTCGATTCTGGTTAGTTCACCTCAGAAGAGATACTCAGAACTTACTACATCAACCTGTTGTCTCCTGATGCAGAGAGCTAACTCGTGGCGGCATTAGGATTCATCCTTGATCCATATCCCGGTGTCAAATCTGTGATGCCCTACGTTCTTCTCGCCAACACGCCCCAAGCCATCGCATCGTTGCTGTATTACAGCTACAACGGCGTCTTCACAGCAATGCTAGCGAACCGCGAATGGGCAAGATACGCACACAAACGAGCCGCACTCCGCGTTTCCGAACCCACGTCTACTCAACGCTCTACATACTTCCTCTCCCTGCCCTTCAGGTACAGCCTACCCCTCATTATCTCCAGCATTTTGCTGCACTGGTTCATCTCTCAAACACTGTTTATGGTACGGATTGCTGTCTACAAAGATGGTGTACTGGTGACGACATTTCGGGGCCTAGATTTGTCATGTGAAAATTGTTCGGTGACTAGTCTAGGGTTCTCAGACTCAGCGCTCATCGCGGCAATTGTTATGGGGTGTCTTATGGTCGTGGTCTGTCTGGCTATCGCCGGCCTTTGCAGATACCCGACGGGTATGCCACTCGGATGCACGAATACTGCGGTCATCAGTGCGGCGTGTCATGTAAAGCATACGGGTGGTAGAGAGGTTGAAGATTTGGACGATGTCGTCGAACGTCCTTTGCAATGGGGCGTCACAATCGAGGGTACCAAGGATCAAGTTGGACATTGTTCCTTCAGCGACAAAGCAGTTCAGAAGCCGGTCGAAGGCTGCTTGTACGCTTGAAGAAGTCTATCAGATTACACCTACACAAGGGCTGAACTTAATATCATGTATTTAACAGGTCAGACATCCAAGAAGCATGCAGAACGCTCAAGACCCCCATATATCCGTTATACCCACATTACTTTCAGTCCGGCACATCACCCCCCTCCGCGTCTTCCTCCCCAGCATCCATCATCTACGCAGCCGCAGCAGGCTTCCTAGACTCCAACTTCCTCGGCGCCTTCTTCGCCGCACCCCCATTCCCGCCACCGCCTCCCCCACTGCCAGCACCAGCACCAGCCTGCTGCCCCAATTTTCTCGGTTTCCTCTTCGGCTTCTCCGCAGCAGCCGGCGCGTTATTCTCTTTATTATCACTAAAGGACACCCTTTTTGGCTGCGCAGAACCATTCGCTGATTTGTTCGCCGTGGATGGAGATTTCTGTGATGAGGACTTGGTAGATGTTTGTTGTGTGCTTGGTGTCTGCTTTTGTTGGGAGGGCGGGGTGGATTGATTTGACGATTGGGGGTTTGCGGGGCCGCGGGTCGTTGGTGGGCGCTGGGATCGGGGTTTGGGTTGTTCTTTCGCTGGTCCGTTGGACTGGGGCTTTTCTCGCTTTGGTGGTTGCGTCCCGTTTGTTTTCGGCTGCGATGGTTTCGACTGAGAGGTCTTCTGAGGCTGGGGCTTAGACTGCTGTTTGGGTTGACTCGGTGCTTGTTGGGCTTGCTTTTGAGGTTGTTGCTTGGGTTGTGATGGGCCTTGCTGTTGCTGCTGTTGGCCTCCACCTCCCCAAGGGTTCATCGCAGCTCCCATTCCCGCGATTCCAGCCCCTGCGCTCTTCACTGCCGACGGCATACTCGGTCTCCAAGCAGTCATATCTTTCGCGGACTGGGACCAAGTCTGCGGCATCATATCCGGTGCGTCATTCTTCATCTGTTCCAGCTCTTCTTTAGACGGTGCTTGCGTGTCCTTGGTTTGCATAACCATCTTCTCCAGGGCCTTCTTTTGCGATGGCGTCGATTTGACATCTGGGAGGAAGTCACCAACGACACCCTGAACACCTTGACTTGCCATCTGTCCTAAGTCCCACATTGGGCCGTTCATGGCACCGTAAACCGATCCAATACCTCCTCCTAGCAGCCCAGTCACTGTAGATACCGTGCCACCAACGAGCGCGCCGGTCAGCTTTCCAATAGTAACACCTGGCTGCACTCCCAATCCGGCACCAGCGGCCAGTCCTTGGAAAGCGCCCGACTGCGTGTACTTTGCTGCCTTTCCGAATGACTCTGCTTCAATCTCTTTGTTAATCGCCTTCGCTAGGATCTCTTCTCTTGCTTTCGCGTCGCCCGCTCCATGCGCAGCTTGCCTCAGCTCCCACGCTTTCTGTCCCGCCTGGAGCGCCATACTCGCCGAGACACCGGCATTTTGTTTAATCTCATGTTCGGGGACGTTGCACTGCCCGCCGCCAACGTGAACTTCTCCCATGTTTTGGTTCGATGAATTCGCAGGCTTCGGTTTCGATTTCTGATGTGTTTGTTTTGGTGGTATTTACTCCTGATGCAATTCCGACAATGTTATTGAGAGGTCTAGACAGGAGGCTGGTTTGACGGGTCAACGCTAGTATGACAGCTCAAGTGCGAATACGCTACGTCATGCACGATCGACGAGATCGCCGTGGTTACACGTGTGTGGCCAGCCGACAACCTGTTTTGACCACAGGAACGCGAGACGTAGTTTCTACAGCATGTAGGGTTATCCCTTCTGCGTTCGGCGCAACCCTTCAGTAACAAGACCGATGGCTGTCACTGGTGGTTGTAAGTCGCTGCGCCAGTGTGTCATGACGTCAGCGGCCCGGCGCCAGGGTCTTTCATCTACCAAATTCCTGTCTGCAGTACGCTATGAACGCGCCGCGTTTTTGAGAGCGACTCACACACCCACGCTGTTGGTTCAGCCTTCAGTAGTTTGACGCGTGCTGCGGTGTCGTACATGTCACCCACCCAAATTCACCCTTCCACGAGTTTCGCCACAGGACAAGATGTACTTTTTGATTGGCTATAATCGATTCGATCAAGCATACCACTATTTTGCTCCTAAAGAGATGCTACACTTTTTTGATCCCATCGCCAACAGAACCAGCACTCTTTGCACCTCCCTTCAGCTCCTTGTTCGTCGCCTGAATCAACACTCTCCGGTAGCTTGTTAGTGACGGCGTACCATCATCCGTGACTTCAAGTATGAGATGAAGCAATTGACCTTGAGCAACCGGCTTCTTACTCAGGAACTCGACCGCGCATTTTTCCGGAGGCGGAAGCCTTACCTCGACCTTCCTGCCTTCATCGTCCAGCTTCTTGATCACAAGTTGCGCAACCTCGCTATAAACCAACCACTGCGTCGCTGTGGGTTCTCGATAATGCCACCACTTGAATGTAAGCTTTCCGCCATCCGGGTCGTATGTAGCGGACGCGTCGAGCGCGACTTTTGATCCGGCCTCAGCGGTGATTTGGACGGGCGCTAAGCCTTTGAAGCCGCTGATGTTGATGACGGGGTGGTGGTTTGCTTTTGCGAAATCAGGCTCCATGCTCCACTTGATGCGCGCGGCAAAGTCGTTCTGGAAAGCGTCGCGCCAGCGCCAGATGGTCGCGTGGTTGGATGTATACGTCCTGTCGCCAACTTTGACCCTGTCTACTACATCGCTGTAGTGGTTGCTGTTCAGGCCTTCAGTGCTAATATCAGTTCGCCCGTAGCGACCTCCCCATGATCCATAGTTGGGGCAGTCAGGTACACCAAGACCGTTCTGGATGAGGTAGAGGAATGTCGGGGTATCTCCTTCCGGGATGTAGAGATAGTCAGGGTACGCCTTTCCGAGTGGCCCGATCTGAATGTTCTCCTTGATCCAACTCTTCTCCATCTTGGTGAAATCTGGGCCACCTTCATCGAAGCCGTAGTACTTGTCGCCGGAAATGCCGGTCCATGCTGCCAGACCATACTGATTCCAGCCGTGAATGGAAGCAATGTAGAATACGTCGGGGAAGTTGTTGCGAATCCATGCACCTGTATCATCTTGGTCGGATATTGCGTAAACGCGTAGACGTGACAGCAAGCGCTTGGAGTCTTCAGGTTCGAAGTCGTCGTCTACTTTGAGCAGTGCTGAGGCGAGTGTATTTGTTCCGCCCCAGCAAAGAATCCATAACGGCTGGGTGGATGGTGCGACGATTCGATCGTATAGCAGCTGTCCGCCTGGAGACAGTGGAGTGTCTGTGCCAACAGCTGACATGCCGTAAGTCTGGGTACCGTCAGCGCTACCCACGTGACGTGCTGCGTCTAGCGAATGAAGCTTACCTCGGCGCCCTTGCGAATCAACCCACGCATATGTTGTGCCGTTGGATACTGCCAGTTCGGGTGCACATGCTTGTTCAAGTTGTCGACAGCATCGGCATATGCGTTGATAATCTTCCCCATGTCTTCCGGGTGCACTTTGTTCTTCATCCAAGTGCTTGTGCAAGCTACAAGACCCTCCGTCTCAAACTCATTGGAGTAAAGCAAGTATCGACACAGCGATTCGGCATCATCCGGTTCATTTGAGATGTCTGACAAGATGAAAACGCGGGGCTTCTGCGAGTATGTCTGTAGTTTTTCGGTAGCCATGTTGGAGCCGGGTTGTTGGCGTACTGGGAGTCAATGGACATGCAAAAATCAAGAGGAAGCTTTCTTTTGACGCTGTTGAGCTTTTGAGGTTATCCGATGCTACACCAAACACCCGAAGTTGTGCCACGGCGTCCGAGGTGGGGCTTTGAGCAACGGTGCGGTGTCCTTAGGCACCTCCTTCCGTCTGGAGGAAAGCCGGCTATTCTTGCCATCCGTGCGTCTCCACCTGAGGATACCCCTCACCATCTCTTGTACAAAGACGCTGCTGTTTGCAACTGTATCGTCGTTACCCCGGATTTCAGCATGATATCCAAAATGCGAGATAGCCGTTGCCACGCCGCCTTAGTGCATTGAGGCTCAGCCGCCTGCGCCACATGCGACTAGACCGCATTGGATGGTAGCTCAGCCTTGCTCCTTATGACGTCTGGAATCTGCCCCGCTTCAACACCACCAGCCACGATGAAGACAGCAGTTTGGTTCAAAATCAGGCGCCCAATAGCCTAAGACAAGGCCATATATTCGTGCCGTCAGGCCGACTGCCAAGCAGTACCACCATGATCTCTTGCCTGAAGGAGTCGATTAGGTAGGCTGTGCTTCGCTGCTTCCTAGATATATAGCATCAGGCTACCTCCGGTCGCATTCGCATCACCACTCACAAACTACTATTATAGTAACTTTTTACCATGTCAATCCACAACAAGATCCAGCAGGCAGCGCAGAGGAATGAGGAGCTCCTTCGGGGCCTCGAGGACACAGATTCGGCGCCCTCACAGCTCAAGCAGCAGAACGCCTACATCGCTGATCTCGACGCGCAAATCAACAACATCAGGAAGCGCGTCACCGACCTTAAACAGAAAACAGCCAGCGAGCTGAAAGACCACGAAAAGTACCGCGACTCGCACTTCCGCCGCTTCGCCCACAAGGCCAGCGGAAAGAAGGAGAAGTTCGCCGAGAAAGCCGCCAAAGAAGAAAAAGAGTACTTCGACGCAATCCAAGAGCAAAAGAGCGCCGAAGACGAACTCGCCTACGCAAAACAACTCCGTGCCGAAGCCGAAACACGCAAGAACGAAATCGCATCGCAAGCCCAACGCCACACGGCGCTCCAAGCGGACCTCGACGCGCTCTACAACTCCATCTTCGCAGGCCACACGCCCGAATTCCCCGACGAAGACCGCAAAGAAGATGCCTGCAACGCCGCGCACGCCCACGTCCAAGACCTGACCCAACGCCTCGAGCGCGAGCGCCACATCCTCTTCCTCCTCGGGCAGACTTCCGTCAAGCTGTCTGCCGCCCGCGAACACCTCGACGGCGCATACGGCATGTCGCAATACGACATGTTCGGCGGCGGCACAATGGCCAGCATGCAGAAGCGGAACTACCTCGAGCGCGCCGAGAGCTCCATCCAACAAGTGCGCATGCTGCAGCAGCAGGTCAAGCAGGTTGCGCCTGAGATACCGGGGCTGGGTCAACTCAACATCGCCATGGGTAGCATATGGAGCGACGTCGTGTTTGATAACATCTTTTCCGACATGCAAATGCACGATCAGGTCAAGCAGTCTATTGCGCAGGTCGACCGCGCGGGGAACAAGTGCGGGGAGATTATCCGACAGCGTGAGGCGCAGGAGAAGGGTCTGCAGGGCGAAGTCGATCAGGCAAAGGCGAAGCTACAGCATGCGCGGTTGCAACTGCAGCAGGCGCGTGAAGAGGCGTTTAGGAGGGTGCTGGGCGGACAGCAGCAGAATGTGGGTGCGGGAGGTTTTGCACCGCCCGCTGGTGAGGCGCCGCCGCCGGAATACACAGCACCGGCGGGTCCTCCTCCTGGGTACTCGGCTTGAGCCGTGAGGCGATGGTTCATGCGTGTGGCTTGCTGATACGGATGGGGCTTGTGTTCGGCCCGTATACCCTCCATATTCTATGCTGTGGGGCTCGGCGTGACTTCTTTTCTAGTAGCGGTTGCTAGAGAATATCTATACGAATGCAGATACTTCTTGATGTAATCTGGACTTCGGCAATTGTTTTGACTTGGTTGAAGATAAGCTCGCTTGGTTTCTGGAAGGTGAACCGATACGGAGGCTGCAACGTTGAAGGGGGCCCGTCAATCGAGAAAAAGCCGAACAGGCCTGCAGCCTACTTCAACATGTAAACCTACTAGATGGGTGACCTAGCGTCGATGGAGGCTCTAGACCTGTTCAGCTTTTTTCTTGTATGAGGTGGGGGCTAGTGACAGACGGTTGATGAGATGAATGATAGTTTCTGATTCAAGTACTACATTGGTGAACAAGGCATGTGGTGGTTTCAACTGAGCAAATATCATGATGAGTTGCTATGTTATGTACTGCTATCTATATGCAATCCTCAAATAAAAGCCTCGTCGAGGTAGTTTCCAAAGTTGCTGTCACGGAAAGACGGCGTCGCACTACCAAAATCCGTGTTCTCAATCGCACTCCTCGCCGCCGCCGTCATGCTGTCCCACGCAATCAACGGCTGCTCTCCGCCTTGAGTCGTAGTCTCAATCAACTGGTGGTTAACCGGGAAAATAGACCTGTACCCAATCCTTGGCCTGGTACCAGTGAGACTGGGGTTGGTAACTTTGTCGTAGTCGCCGTGAGCAGAGATGGCGATGCCGCGGATGGTGGCAGTGGTGGACTGGGCGGACAGCCAGACGACGATGTTTTCCCAGTCGTGGCGGTGGCCGAGACCTGGGCCGGGGCTGTCTTTGGGCATGTACCAGGAATACATGATGGCGTAGGCGCCGTTGTGGGCGGTGGCGCGGGCGTAGACTTGGCCAGGTGAGGAACTGCACCCGCTGTTTGAGGCGCCGGTGGGTTGGAGGCCGCCGCTGGAGGGTGTTAGAAGGATTCACTTTCTGGATTAGGGGTGACTTACCCTGTGTCACCTGCGGCGTTGACGGCGGGAAAGGGAACGCAGCCGTTTTCGACTTTGAGGTAGGGCTTGTATTTCAGCATGAGCTGTCCTACGATGCCTGAAGGAACGGTCTGGGGGAAGCCAACGACGGCATCATGGGCGATGACAGCACGGCTTTGGAGGTTGACGGGGGAGGCGAGGACAACGCTCGCGGCGGCAAGGAGCTGGATGGCAATGTTGAACATTTTGACTTTTGCTGAAAGCGGATGGATGTAGGAATAAATGATGAGGTCAAGCGAGTGACAATGTCTTTGAGCCGGGGGACTGGCTTGATCTTCAAAAGATGGTGGCAGCTGTTGATTTATACGATGGCCTCGGCGTTGTTCAAATCGTACGGCTCTTCCCGATATCGTGCTCACTGAGTCCTCAAGTCTCTCTCAATCCCAATGGGGAAGTTCACGATACAGACTAGCAAAAGCGCGATACGAGCAGAACCGTGGAGAGCACACAAACAGCGCACATGCCCTGATATACTACCACCAATTGGCCGTTTATCCAGCGCCCTTGGACGCATAACAACGTTTCCGACGTTGTCGCTGGGGTACCTGCAGCGCATCGGCGTCCGGCACGGGACGATTCAGACGTTGCATATTCTACGCCCGGAGCAAACATGCGTGAAAGGCAACGCAGGATGTCGATCGACTAGATTGGGAACCACGACGGTTGCATGCCGGCGAATAAGGAGAAAGCGCGTGGCTGATCGCGTCCGAGCCATTGGTGCTTGGCCGAGACTAGGCCGAGTCCGCATCAGGCAGGTGCAGGGGAGGTGAATGTGACATGCTGCAGTCTGGAGAAACAGGACGAGGAATGCATTAGATTCGTGGATTCATGCTGGTGGGCTGCCGAACGTGAGGAATTGGCGGGGAGTGATTGGAGCAGTTAGACGTACCTGCAGTCACGGGGACAAAAGGCATGATCTCGGGTATCGAAGATTAGATTGTATCTCGCAATGCAGTCAATCATCCGAACTGCCTCCAGACAGTGTTGCGCCGGTCTTTTGGTGGTGTCTCCGGGCCTGGCATTAGCTCGCGCAGAAGGTCGTTGATGTCCAGGCCACGCTCTTGGCAGTCATGCCATTGCCGTGGATAGCCCAGGCTGACCTCTTCAAAGCGCGTGTTGTCTATCCAGTCTGTTCGCCTGATGTGTAGATGGCCAGAGACGACGACCTTTGCGTTGTACTTGTTGTGCCAGTCTTCGGTTTTCTTCGTACCGCACCAGAGGGAGAAGCGCGGGACTCGAAACAGCTTCACGAGGTCTTCCCGAAGCGGCCAGTGGCCTACGATGATCAAGGGGATATCTGGGTGTGATGCGACAGTGGCGGCGAGCTTCTTCTCTGTCTTCTCAAGAAGTGCATTGCACCATTCGATGCGCGACGAATACGGGTCGGGATGCAGGAGGTGCTCGTCGGTCGCTTCTATGTCTTTCTCTCGCGCCCACTCCAGCGCATCGTCTAGCTTCACGTGGCTAGGCCTGAAGCTGTAGTCGTACAGCGTGAAGATGGGCGCAATGAGACATGGACCTCCCTCGCCCTCCCACAGCGTGTATGGGTCTTCTGGCGTGATTATGCCGTACTCGCGCGCAATCGCAACACACTCCATGTATTTCGCCTCGCCCCTCGCGCCGTGCTCTTTCTCCGAGGGCAGCGTATACAGCTCGTGATTGCCTGGCACCCAGAACACTTGCCGGAAGCATTCCTTGACCTTGGTGAAGGCTAGCCGACAATGCTCCGCCGACTCGCCAACGTCTCCACACAGTATGAGGTCATCGTGCGGGTGAGGCAGGAGCTTCTCGAGAGCATCGCGATTGCCCTTGAAGGAGAGGTGGATGTCGCTGATACCCCAGAGGCGGCTCTCTGGGGGTGTCTCGGCGGATGGCGGGGAGCTCGGCGGGGTTGACGTTGTGTCTGCAGCGGCGGCGGCTTCGGCGGCGGCGAGAAGAGGGTCCATGGTGGCGGCGACGGTTAACTGCACAACAGGGACGCGCCGTGACGGAGGTTATATAGTGACAATCTCTCAAACAGATGTGTTGCAGAAAAGTAACTACATCATAGTTCTTTCTCCGACGCGTGTCCGCCGTTTCGACGGGCTATTATTATCGATTCGCACAGACCAGTAAGACGTCAAGCTCGTATCAGGAAAGAAGTGTTCATTTACCAAGTCTCACCTATTCGCTGAAACTGTTCTCACCCAACATACGTATAGCAGCTGGGTATCGTCGCGAAACCGGATCCCCGCGGTCTACCGGTTGAGGTTGGAAGACGTCTACACGATACACGGGTACGCTGGTTTAGAGTTTCACTACGGCGAGGCTGACATGGTCACTGCATTTGATGGAAGGAACTACGCAAACGAATTGTGAACACCGCCGATACTTCAAAGCACCGCGCGCAATAATAGACCCAGAATCTCGATATGCTAACTCATAGCTATAGCCGCATCGCCTAAACCACCGACGCCGTTCTCGTCGCTCGCGGCCACTCCCTCCGCCTCATGTTCGCATTCTGCTGTCTTCTGACCTTCCTCCTGGACCCAAACCTCGTCGCGACTCTCCCATGCATCATTCAAATCCGCCAGAATCTCCTCGTCATAGAATGTCCATGTGGCTGGGAGCGTGAACCCCTCACGAGTGAACCTATCTCGCACGTGCATAGCTTTGCATTCTCCTCTCTCAAATTCATAGTATGCCGACGGCCGCTCTGCTTCCGGAATCTTCTCCAGCTCAAGTTTCGTCAAGCGATCCAGCTTCTTGAGAATAGCATCGCATTTTTTGTTCATTATCGAAGGGCCAGTACCTGGTGGTATCAGGTACCGATACTTGAGGACTGCATGGCTGAGGTTCTCATATAGCAGATCATATCTCGGATACTCCTTGGGGCCCAATGACTCCCTCCTATGTGTGAATATGTACGGTGCAGAACTTAGTCGGAGCTCGAAAGTCGAAGATTCATAGATGGTATCAGGCTGCTCAGGCGCCGAGACGCCCGTAGTGTCGAGATCAAGTATCCAGGTCCGCGAATCCCCCATCCGGCGGGTTATACAACTTGGTCCATCCGTTTCCACGTGCAGTATTCCGTCAGCCCAGTACCACGACCCTAACCCTTCCCACGACTCTGGACTTCCAATCCTTTGTACAAGGACTACGTACTGCCAAAGGTATTTGTCGTCGCACATCGTCAGATGACACTTCTCTTTGATGAAGGTCTCGAAGGGAAATATCGTATATGCTTTGTTCCATGTTATAAAGCGCGCCTCATGGGTTGCTTGACGGGTAATCATGTGTACTTCTAGTTGGTTGAAGTTCCAGATGCGAAGGTCCACGCGCCTCCATTTACCGTCAACACCACACTTTTTTGTACAGTAAAGGCCCTCATTCAGGTCCGGTTCCTGTGGATGTCTATCATAATGCACAAAGCCTTCAGAATCCAGGTAATCAACTAGCGGCGCCATGCGGGTGGGTTCAACCCATACACTTAAATGCGTACACTCGAGTTTCGAGCGCGCGATGAAGCTTAAGCGGCCATCAGTGGTGAACTCCTGGCTGTAATCATCCAGCAGAGCGCCGCATTCTCCTTGGACGGACCGAAATTCCCGAGGGTCTTTGAAGAAATGCCGGAGTTTGTAGTTAATGTTGTAGTCAGAAGCTACAAGCGTCGGCCACAAAGAGCCGAAGGCCTTGCAGGTACAGGTAAGCCTTGCGATGGCACCCGGATTGAGATGATCGAGGAGAACGCGTTGGATGGGCGCATACCGAGGACTGAGCAGGTCGATGAGGGAAATCATAGTTGTGAGATGGTTTTTGGTGTAAGAATATGCTTATGGGTAGATATAGAGCGAGAGAATCAGGAGGCTAGGGGCGCCCATGATGTTATATAGGCTTTTGGTATTGATTCCTAAACAAGACATCACATGCGTGATAATCAATAACGCCGTCGGCTGTTACGTTCAGTTGATATTCGATCACGTAGCTAAAAGCGCAGTGTCGTGTCACAAGCAATTCGCTGTTGTTGTAGTGCTGCTACAATCGCACTTTCCTCTTTTAGTCGGATTCTTCATGACCGTAGTCAGTGTGGCAGGTGCGTCCACGGTTTGGGCGGGTATTCTCATCTGCGTCTCCTCGTCAACATTCGCGGTGAAGGTGAGAGTGAACTCTCGATTCTCTAGCGTCTTGAGTAAAGTGCTTGAGCCTAACAAGACTTCACTCTCCAGATTCCTTTCAAACAGCCACCACGTCTTCCTCCAATACCTAGGTATCTTCCATCATTCAAGACTACGTACCATCACCGTCATCGCCATCATCGTCATCACCCTCAACAATGACATCCCCACCCTCCGCAATGCAAACCCGCGCCGAGAACGCCGAAGCGCGCGAGCGCTACCTCAAAACCAACCTCATCCGCTCTCAGAAAGACCTCGCGCAAGCGAACAAGAAGAACAAAGACCTCGCGGCAAAGCTCGAAGCGGCGGAGAAAGAGCTTGCAAAGTACAAGCAAGTTGAAACCGATCGCGAGAACGAGCGGAAGAAGGTCGAGGATGACGGCAAGCAGTTGTTGGAAGCCCAGGCGGGGAGATTGAGGGAAGCGAAGGCAGCGGGTGGTAGTTGGAGGGAACAAGCGCAGGCAGTCTACGGTGATACCCCTCTCGCACCCGTACTGGACTGGAGGGAACAAGCGGCGGCATGGCAAGCCTGGTTCGAGGCGGAGTCGAAGAAGTGATCGTATATGGTTTCGCGTTCATTGTTCTGTGTAGTAGTCTAGACCGTCTCTTTCGGATAATGCCAAGTATGCAACTGCCATCACGAGCTACCCTCTCGGACTGCTTTCTCGTCTTGTAGCTTGTATTTCGCTAAGTGCGAGGAGACATCTCACGCTTTCGCCGACGGCAGGCTGTACGCTCGGAGCTCAGGATCCTTGGTTGTACATTAGAGTGATAATAGACCTAGTTGGGGGGGTTCCTTCCTTCTCAGGACGTGTGAGCAGCGAGTATGGGATGTAGCCTGATTGTGGAAGTCACGACTAGCACTGGCCTCGCTACCGAGCGCGACAGATATACAAGGATTAGTGCCCTTCTACGCGCAATAAAATCTTTAGTCAACACGTACATAGTAGTAGAATTGTAAAGTACAGATGTATACAACAAAGTAGCTTTGCCTCAATTCTCTGCCTTGTCACGACTTCATGTCTTCATCAAAGCGCGATCTCCAACATGTAGCAAACTTTGTCAATCGAACCAATACTGAGAGTATTGCTTCTTCGATTCGCTGAACATCTGCATCGTCGCCATGTCGAACAAGACGACAACTTCAATCACGCAATCTATCACTGAATCATGGGAATTGTCATCGTTTTCAAACATTATCATTCATGCTACATGACAACCATGCCACATCGCATGTTACTATCATCCATCCATCGCCATGCCAAAAGCTTCATAAACTATGCCTAAACCCCTCTCTTCTCCTGTCTCATTTCAAACACCCCCTTCATACCGGGGGACAGACACAAGAGACCGTAAAGCCATGCCATGAGAGGAGAAACACAGACAAAGCTCGCATACATGATATAACCAAAAATCGTAGAGAGAACCGGGGGAAGGGCAGGAAAGAGTGATTAAGGAAACGCAAGAACGCCATCATGACACAGTTCTCATCACCGTCTCACCAATCCTTCGCAAGCGAGGATTGTCATTGGACGGAGATGTTGTTCCTCAGGCCGCTAGGCTCGGGGCCCTTCTTGTTGCGGCGGCCGAGTAATGTCGAGCTGTCCATGTTGAGCTCAAACGCGCCCTTGTTCCTGACTTGGCGCTTAGCCGCGGCCGCAACAGCTGGGGAGTGTTGGCCGTAGCCGCGTTCTTGCTGTCGCGGTTGTGCTTGTTGTTGCTGACGAGCTTGAGCGGCGGCGGATAGTGTGGTGTTGCGCATCTTCTGCTCCATGCCAGATACATCGGCACCCTGAGACTTGGGAAGCTTCGCGGGCGGATGTTGCGACGCTGGGTCGTATGGTGCAGACTCGGCGGCGTACTCGTCATCATCCTCACCTTCGTCAAGCGCGTTGAGCGAGTTCATGGCGTTGGCGCCGCGGTAGCCCTGCTTGAACTGCTTCTTCCGCTTACCCTCCTCTTCTTGTCGGTGTACAGCGTAACTGACATCGAACACTTCTCGCAGGTTGACGGCACCAGGCGAACGGAAGTCCATGCGACGGGCACCGGGCGACTCGAGGTGGGAGAAGTCTGGCTGGAGGCGCTCCTTCTTGGCGGCGGGTGTGGCGAGCGGTGGTGCGTCGTAAGCGGAGTAGGTAGGCTCGTCGGCTTCACGTATCCACGGGTGGTTGAGGAACTGGTTGATGTCGTAGCGCTTCTCGGGGTCAACGGTCAGCAGGTGGGAGACGAGATCCTGTGCAGACTTGGAGATGTCGTCCCACCATGGCGACAGGAAAGTGTACTGGCCGCGGGCGACCTTCTCTGTGAGGGTCTGGATAGACTCGTCGTAGAACGGAGGGAAACCGCAGAGCAGCGTGTAGAGCACACAGCCCAGCGCCCACATGTCGACGGACTTGGAGTAGCGCTCGTCCTTGACAATCTCAGGGGCGGTGTAACCGACAGTACCACACGGTGTCATGGTCTGCGTATCCCAGATGACCTTGCTGAGACCGAAGTCGGCAATCTTGATGAGGCCGATACCACCGGCGCCCTTGCCCTTGACGAACTCGCCCTCGTCGGCCTTGTCTTCATCGTCCGGTCCCCGCGGCTTTGGGTTGCGGGTGGGGATGAATGGTGTGGGGTAGAAGAGAAGGTTCTCAGGCTTGATGTCTCTGTGAATGACGTCAGTGATTATGCTTGGCATCGTGACTGGCATCGATAAGAACGTACCGGTGGACAACACCTGCCTCCTCGTGCAGATATTGCAGTGCCTTGGCCACCTGGATGATGGTGTGGCGGGACAGGTCCTCGGAAAAGTACGTCAGACGGACGATCTGGTGGAACAGCTCGCCTCCGGGGCACAGCTCAAGCACAATGTAGTAGTACTGCCGCGACTCGGAGAAGTCGATGAGCTTGACGATGTTGGGGTGGTCGAGCTGGCGCATAATCTGTACTTCCTTGAGGATGTTCGCTCTCTATAGGGCAGTTAGTGTCTGCCCTTTAAGCCCGCCGTGAAGGGGGATGCTGAGTCGAGCATCGGGGGTTATATTATCGCACCTCGGCTGCTTTGGGCGTCTTGAAGTCCGGATGCACATGCTTGTCCTACACCGGCCTCGCGTTGGTAACGTCCAAAAACACCCAACTGTTCATCGGGTAGGATAGGGGTGACTAGGAAATGTGCAAGGAGGAAGGAGGGCAGGAGGGGTAATACTAACCTGCTGGGAGTTCATCTCGAACTTGCGGACGACCTTGATGGCGACCTCGTCCCATTGGCCGGTCGTGTCTCGCGCGCGGTAGACGTTGCTGAAGGCGCCGTCGCCCATCTTCTCGAGGAGCGTCCATCGCTCGAGGCCGGGATACCTCGGCAGCTTGCCCTTGGCCTCGCGCTCCTCGGCGACGATGCGCTCGAGTACCTGGGGGTCGACGCCTGCGCCCTTGGCAGCGGCCTGCTTCTTGTGCTCCTTTTGGGCAGCGTGCGCGGCGGCGTCGCCTGCCTGGGCGGCAATGTTGCGGTTGTCGCCAGCGCCAGCGCCGACGGAGTAGTCGCCATGGGGGGCAGCGTGGTTCTGCAGCGGCTTGTGGTCCATTACGGGCTCCGAGATGCCATGATGTACGGGGTCCGGGTGCTGGTTGTACCGTTGATGTTGCGACTGGGCGTGGACATTGGAGACATTGGTCGTGGGCTCCGCGTTCTGGCGGGCCTGCTTGCCATGGCGCAGGAAGTTCTTAAAATTCTGTATCGCGGCCATGTTTAGTGTCTGGACGCTGGGAGGTATTACAAAGCCCGTCAATAGCGGGGTCGTCGAGGCTGCGATGGAGAATGCAAAAAACAAGCGGGTGCAGCCGTTTGTTGGGGCAGAGGGCAGACGGGCGGTAGCACGGCGGGAATACTCGTGTGGTGAGGGGAAGTCAGGGAGAAGCGCTGGTTGGAAAGAAGGTCATGCATGGACGAAGGAAGGAGTGAAGCCGGAACAAGAGAGGAGCGACGTTGCGTCATTGGCGCACGGGCTTCATGACGCTGCAGGCTACATCATCGCCAAACAAGCTGCACCACACGCACACGATATGATGCGTGCTGCTGCCCGTGGCGCCTCAAGCTCTAGCCGTGGTGCATTGCGTGCCGAGAGGAAGCATATCGAAATGTGTAGAAATGTATCGAAATATGCCTTACCTCGATAACTGGGAGGCCCATCTTCTTGCGTCCGCCGCGGGGAGACGTGGTTTTGGACTGCATGTAGGGATTCGATCTCGATGATCGCCTTCGTTTCTGCTTATTGACTCGCTCTGCGGTGGAGGTATGACGCTCGTTTCTGTTCCGCGTCCCGGCTGGGAGATCTCGTGGCTTCCGCTAGCACGGGCAAGGGTTGGGTTTGAGGGCGTTTGGAATTGGAAGGATTATTAGATCGCGATGGGTCGTGATGGGCAGGAGAGGCGAGCAACGGCGGTGTCAAGAAGAAGAGGAAACGAACTCTATGTATCGTCTCTAGATTATTTGTCTTTTGCTTGGACGAGGCCACTGCGCTACTCCGCGCGAATACTCTTCAGCAATAGTGGCAGACGCTGACGCCCGCGGAATCTCCGGCAGCCTCCTCCCAGCTCCCAGTAGACTCGCACAGTCGAGCCTGGCTCCATCTAGAGGCTGAGAGGCTCGCTAGGGACGCTGCCGCCGACGCCACGCTGCATGCAAACCTCACTCCGACCTTGGAAGAGGGTCCCGAGACGGCCTGAACGCAGCCCAATGACCGCATATAAGACCAGGGCGAGATATGGCAATCTCATGGCGCATGCGTCCTCCCAGCGCGCCCGCAGTTCTAATTTCTCGCTCTTCGCGTTTCCAACGGCCTAGCAGCCTGCAGGGTCCAGCTAGCGCGGCGGATCCGTTACGTCACCGTCTAGTGGGGAACTTCATTGAAGACGTCAATTTCGCCCTCTCGAGACCTCTGGGCTGAAACACATGTGCCGCTTACGGCGTCCAGACGAATTCACGTAGATCGCGTTGGGCAGGCCACGAGACCTTTTCAATAATGTAGGTAGCTCTAGTCTCGGTCGCGCCGGCCATGTCGGCCCAAATCCAAGGCCTTGACGCATGGGATTCGGTCCGCCCATCTATCATTGCGCGTTCGCAGGGTTGAGAGCGGAGCTGACATGGGGACTGACGGGGACTGACATGGGACGGGGCAGGTAGAGTTCTTGGGGTCAGGTTTGTCATATTTGGATCTGATAACTAATAGACCCTTTCCCACGATATCCTCGTGGCAATCATCTGGACCCTCGTGGCATGACTAATGAACGTCGCCAAGCGCGGATGGCAACCACGTGCCCGCCTCGCTACACCAAGAAAACAGCGTCATGTTAGTCAACGTTGGATGAGGAATGCGACGAGTGCAAACGTGGTAGAAAGTTTACCGTATGCGCTCAATGTCACTAGTGAGCCGGTAGCCGTGAGAAGATCAGGGTACGGCCGGCACGGAGACAGCAGCCCGCACTTGGCGGCGCCTGAAACGCAATCGAGTCCACACGTAGCTGACGGACCCAATCTCTCCACATACCACGACTAAATCATACGCTATAACAGGGT